TTCTTTCTTGATCTGAGTTCCTCTTCGCCCATCATATTGTGTCACCAAATTTTCATTTCTTTCAGGTGTAGACTTGTTGGTCTCAGTCCTAGTGTGGCTGATCATCCCCTCGGACCAGCTACTGATCATGGCCTTGGTAATCTATTGTCTCACCAACTAGCTAATCAGACGCAAGCCTCTCCTCGAGCGACGGAGAACCTTAGATAGAAAGCTCACAAGAAGTGTCTTCTGCCTGCTAGGCCAACCGTAGAGGAAAAGATGTCTAGTTTTGATTGGCCGTTGAAAACAGAGCGGGCACGCAACCCAGTCTTTTAGGCAAAATATTATAACATGTATATTTACCTAATTGCTATATAAAAAAAATCAGATTGCATAGAAATCGGACTCGGTTTCTAAAATTTAAAAAAAAAAAAAATATCATTTGGCTACTATTTTCTTTAGTTTGGATGTTTTTAAACATAAAACAAAGTTAGATGATATTAATTTGAATTCATAATACAATCGGGTTGAAACATCCTAAAAATTTAGATTTTGTTTAATCATCTAGAATACAAATTTGAAATTGATTGCATACACGTACACAATTTTTTTCTTCTTTAAATAAAGTAGTTTATAATTTTAAAATAATAAGGTTATAGATTATCAAAAAAGACGTTTTACAATCTCTGTTATATTTGGCTATCCAATATTCATTAAAACAATATAAATCATATCATCCTGCTAAATAATTTAAATGATTTATTTAAGCTTATCTAGAATCCTAATATATATAGGTTTCAGGTGTTTATTTTCTTAGATATGGTATACACAGAGGTAGGTTGTTTTCTGTCGATGGAGCTTCAACCTGAGACTTTTAATTTCCTTTGGCACTCGGGGGCGGTGGCCGCTACTGTCACATTCAGCCAAAATGCGCATGAACATAGATAAAACGACACATAACACCATTAATTATAATTTGTACTTGATTGTATAACATTCACGACCAGTTTTATGTAGTTGTTTCACGCGCTGTGAATCTTAAGGGTTCAAAAATTATAATTTGTTGCGATAGATGATGTACCAAAACACCGAACAAATAATGTTGTGTACAAGGATATGTTTAATAATATATAAGTTATATTTGTTTATTCCAATACATGCGTTTTACGTTCTTTTAATCGTTTAATCATCCAAATCTAAATGCTTACCTTAATAAAACTAGTTCGTGCATCGCACGGGTACTGCACTAGTATATTAAAAGAGATAACTTATTTATAAAAAATAGTAACAAAAAAAGTCAACCAACATTTATTGCATTCTATTTTCGGCAATTTAGAATTTTCTTTTTAAAATATTCCCAAAAATCGATCAACTATATATGCACCCAAAATTCATGGGTTTTGTTTATTTAATTTCGACTGATGCTTACAATTTTGCAAATGTCAAAATTCTTTTTCATTTTTTATTTAAAAAAAATGATTACCACAGAATCAAAAATTTCGAATTAGGCAAAATACTATCACATATATCTTTTCCTAATTGCAACAGATCAATTGTTTATTAAAAAAATCGGATCGTATAAAAATCAGGTTAGTTTAGGTAAAATTCGGCATTACAATTTTGTAAAAGTAAAAATTTTTTAATTTTTTTTAAGAAAATTTATTTACCATAAAATCGGGAGTTTCGAATTTAGAAAATACTATAACATGTATCTTTACCTAATTGCAACAGATCATGTTTATTAACAAAAATCAAATTGCATAGAACGGGTCCAATTTCAACTTGAATATTAAAATTTAATAATCCATTATCATTTGGCCACTACTTTAGTTTTTTTTTTTTTTTTTTTTTTTTTTTTTTTTGGTAAGTATAAAACAAAGTCATATAATATTAATTTGATATTCAAAATGAAATCATCAAATTTGGGTTTTTTTTTTTAATCGTGTAGAATACAAATTTTAAATTGATTGCATATGCGTACAATTTTTTTTCCTTCTTTAAATTAAGTAATTTGTAATTTTAAAATAATAAGGATATAGATTATCAAGAAAGACATTTTACAATCTCTACTATATTTGGCTATGATTCATAAAACCAGTATAAATTATAGCATATATATCATGCTAAATAATATTAATTGATTTATTTAAGCATATATAGAATCCTACTATATATAGGTGTCAATCGTTTTTTTGTTTTCTTATATAAAGTTTACACAGAGGTAGGTTTTTTCTGTATTATTTGTTTTATGTTCAATAATATATAAGTTATATTTTTTTATTCTTTCAATACATGCGTTTTATGTTATTCCAATTATCCAATCATCTAAATCTAAATGTCTAACTTAATTAGACTAGCTTGTGCATCGCACGGGTACCGCACTAGTTGTAAATAGATAGTGGACTAAATCCAAATTTGGGCCTTTTAATAACTCGGCCCAGATCTAGTCACCAATACGTTCTTCTGGCCCGTTGTCCTTCTTTTTGTCGGCCCATCAGCAGCTGACCTTGTTTTTGCCTTGTTCTTGCCATTCAAGCAAGCTCTCGTCTTTACCCCAGCAAACATCATCCTCAAACCTTGCCTTTCTGTAACAATAATATTTTCCATATTCAGATCTTTCTGCAGGTATGTATGTATGTTCTTCCTTTTCAATTTCTACTTTATACTTAAGTTTTTTTTCCTGCGTTTTATTGTCTGCTCTCGATCGTCTCTAGAAAATAGAACAACTTAGACTTGCTTGTTCTCTGCATTTCGAGCTGAATTTTTTTCTTTTCCGAAATTAGGGCAAGAAAAATATGGCAAATATTGGGATTTGTAGACACAACTATGAATGCAATAAAAAAAAAATCAAGTCAATAGTTGCTTATCTGCAAAGATCTTAATCTTATTGCTGGAATAAATGTATTTCTCGCGTGCCCAGCCCTAGCAATTTTGACGGAATTGAACATGTCCTATACTACGGTGGGACTGAATGTTGTGCAGTTTCCCAATTTTATTATTGATTTAATTTTTCACTTTAACCTCATACTCGTATGCAATCTCGTGAAATTTCAGTGCATAATCGTGCTATGCATTATTCATTAATTTGACTTGGGCCTCAAATTCAGTCATCCATTTTTTTCTTTTTGTTGTGTGTGTGTGTGTG